TAGTGGATGGTGCTGGAAAGCAGGGGTAGTGGGGGGTGAGAGGAAGGGAAGGAGGGGAAACTGGAGTTCGTATGTAAAATGAAGGATAATTTTTTAAATAAAAAAGAAAACTACATGAAACATTTTGTACTTGGGGTTGTTAACTGGGGTCATGGGATAATCTGATTAGATCCCCTGCCTCTGCACCTTTTCCCATTCACTGAAGGATTTCTAGCCACTATCTTCCCAGTTTCTCTGTCTAGCTGGTCAAAGTCTCTGGAGAAGAATCTTCCATTTCCTGGCTATAGGTTAGTAAGGCCTGTGCTACACCAGCATTCCTAGAGCCCTAGAGAAGGAGGTAGACACCCCCATGCTCCATTATAGTTGTCCATTTAAGCTCATACAGACTGTCTGCCCTTGGCTTGGTCTGGTATCTCTGAGCCATAGTTTAGCTTGTTAACATTCTTCAAAGGAAGACCTTCTTCTGTAGAACTTGAATTGGGAGTATCAGCCAGATGTAAGATAGGAGGAGAGGAAGGGGGTGCTTCTTAGTCATGCATCCTGTCTTCAGCTCAGCTTTCAACACCATTTGGAATAATCTAGCCCTACTAATTCAGTATTTCTAGCACAAAACTCATTGTGATTGTTAAAGGGTTTGCTTCTTTCTTTGGATCCTTAATGCTTTGGTGCTTTTCTCATTCGCCTCCTTTAAAAAAAAGTCTTTACTACAGTTTTACAGCTGTACGGGTTTAGTCTGTAGGAACCTTTTGTTTGTGCTCTTTTGTGATGTTCCCTTATCGCATTTCACTCGACTTCAATTCATTCCCACAGCACCATCAGAATGATCTTCATGAAATCATTATGTCTTTACAAAAGCCCCTCTACTTTTGAATGTTCTGTAATACATTCTTGTTCTTGGCATGATGTACAAAGTAGTTTTGAACTTATTCGCAGGGATTATGCATTAATGTTTGTGTATTTTCAAAATGTGGCCATGACCTTAGGGTTTAGTAGACAGTCACAGTTTGTCTCTAACATGTACCAAGCACAGTATATTCAACTTCTTATTGTTACTGTTACTGTTATTGTTATTGTTGTGGAGGCTATGGCTGTGTGTGTGTGTGTGTGTGTGTGTGTGTGTGTGTGTGTGTGTCTGTGTCATTGTAGAAGTCAGCCTCAGTGTCATTCCTCAGGAGCCATCCTACCTTGTCTTTTGAGATCTCTCACTGGGACCTTGGGCTCATAGTCTAGGCTGACTGACCAGCAGGCCCAAGGAATCTACCTGTCCCCACTTGCGCAGCACCTTTCACAAGGATGGAGGGACTTAAACTCAAACTCTCATGCTTACACAGCGAGCAATTAGCTAACTGAGCTATCTTCCCCGACCCCTCAGCTTTTGGTGAAAGAGAAGAAACAAAGCTGACAGCAGGTAGAACTGTATACATGGGTATCTGTCCATTCTGCTAATGACTGCAAGATACTTGGACATGCCATAGTGTTTATTTTTACATTTTCTCTTTCTGAGATCAAAATATGATAACATCATTCTCCCCTTCCCTTTCCTTCCTCCAAAACCTCCCATATACCCTTTCTTTCCCTCTTTCAAATTCATGGCTCCTTTTAAAATTAATTTTTGTTACATGTATATATATATATATATATACACACACACACACACACACACACACACACACACACACACACACACACACACACATACAAAGGATTTTTACAGGCCATTGTTAAGTCGTAAAGTTCCCAACATTTTTTATTTTCAATTGTGCTGTACTAAATGTACCCTTAGATGGTTTTTTAAAGTTTACTTATTTTAAGCTTTCAACTGTATGTATATCTGTCCACCATGTGCGTGCTGTGATGGAAGAGGCCAAAAGAGAGCATCAGGAACTCTGGAACTGGAGTTACAGATGGCTGTGAGCCACCATGTGGGTGCTGGGAACTAAACAGGAGTGTTTAGCCACTGCTCTTAACCACTGGATCCATCTCTCCAGCTCCTCTGTTGGGGATTTTAATACACACCATGATTGGAAGATACAAATACAGTTCTTACAAGTTAAAATACTGAATCAGAAGCAGTGTTGTTTTAAAGAAAGGCTTCTGGTGTGTGTGTGTGTGTGTGTGTGTGTGTGTGTGTGTGTGTGTGTGTGTGTTTTCTTTCAGATAAGATTAACTAGTTTGTATTTCTATTAGCAATTCATTCATTAGAGGATCCATTTCTGCACTTACCACCACCACCACCACCACCACCACCACCACCACCATTTCTTGACAAAACTTATATGTAACAATATTATTCTGGCCCAAGTTATATCTTTCTGGTCATTTATGACATGTATTTTAAAATAGTTGTAAGAAATCTACATATCAGCTAGTGAATTGCCTGTTTGTGTTTCTGACCATTTTTCTGTTAAGGTAATTTTTCTCCCACTGCCCCAATTATTTTTCTAGGAGAAAGTGATACTCTGTAACAATGCAGTATCCAATATTTTATGTGTAATTAATACATTTAAAAAGTAGTATTAATTAGAGTAAAAAAACTGTTTCAATTTAATGACCAAAATTACTTCTTTTGTAACCTTCTAGGAAGGTCTCTATGCATCATTGTCTAAAATATTTGCAAGTCAACCTAAGTTGCACAAAAATATATCCCCAAATCAGGAGATGGGCTGGAAGCAGTTTTACCGAAATCTTTTTTGTTGTTGTTATTTTGGGGGAGGGTCAGCTTAACACAAACTAGTATTTGGGAAGAGGAACCTCATTTGAGAAAATGCTTTTATCAGATTTCCTGTAGGCAAGTCTATAGGACATTTTCTTGATATTAATGTAGGAATATCCAACCCACAGTGGGTGGTGCCACCCATGGGCAGGTGATCCTGGGGTGTTTAAGAAAGGAACCTGAGCCTGTGTTCATGCATGTATGTATGTGGAAAACTGACTGTGTCCATTTAGTATGGCTCCTTGTACATATGTTTAGGGCTGGACATTTGGGATTGGATTAACTATCAAGGTGGTTCATCCCCGAAGAAAAGTAACTCTCCCTCACTCAGCAGCCATTGACTGCCTATAGCTCTTCATCTAGTGGTGTGGCCTTGTGAAATCCCCCATCCATGCTAGCATATCAAGGACTGTTACCATCATGCAGGTTATTTTTATGAAAATAAATTGTTGAATTTCATGCCATTGACCATTTAGACAAGTCTGTATAGTTGTACAAACATCAGGCATTCTAATATTTGAACATTTCCCTTGCTCCCAAGTTTCCTATTGGGTATAGAATTTTTGTTTTTGTATTTTCAGTATTTGTATGGGGGTGTTTCAAGATAAGGTTTCTCTGTATAACAGTCCCAGATGTCCTGGAATTTTCAGTTCACTTTGTAGACCAGGCTGGCCTTGAACTCACAGAGATCTGACTACCTCTCCCTCCCTAGTGAGTGCTAGGACTAAAAGTATGCTCCACCACTGCCTGGTGTTTTTATTTTTTAAGTTTTTTAAAAATTAATTTATTTTTACTTTGCAAGCACTAGTGTTTTTCCTGCATGTATGTTTGTGTAAGGATGTTGGATCCACTGAAACTGGAATTACAGACAGTTGTTAGCTGCCATGTGGGTGATGGGAATTGAACCCAGATCCTCTAGAAGAGTAGCCAGTGCACTCAACCTCTGAGTCATCTTTCCAGCCCCAGTACATTTTAAAAATGAAAAAAATATGTTTATGGTATATTTTCTTCAAAGTGACTACTGCTAACAATTTGCCTCTACTATGATTTATTAAGTTAATATATTGACAGAAACCAATCAATAATGCTGGTCTTGGGACCAAAATTCTGGGCAGTAAGTACAATGTGCAATATTTACTCTTAATGAATGAAAGTCCTAAAACATTTAAAGTGAGCTAATACAGAAGTAGTCCTGGGAATTCAATTAGAAGACATGACAAAATGTTTATAGTAAGCCTCTCTTAATAATGCTGACTTGTGTTACTTGACATTTTATTGATTTTTAAGATTGTTATAAATGTACTCCTTTGCATTAATATGTATCAATCAGCAAATTAGTACAATGTGCTTATGTTGACATCTCTAGTCTGAAGTTAATGGCTCATTGTACTGCTCATTTATGCTTCCATCACATTAAAACAGTTATTTAAGGGGGGGCATCTGCACCATGCAGTTTGTTATTACAACAAAAGAAGAGATTTACTCTAGTCATGCTCATTACTCGTTGTTGTTCTGGCCCTTCATCAGATAACCATGATTTAAATTACCCCTGAGCTCTTGCAGAATGCATATATGTTATATGATAAGATGAGGCATTATGCTTTTAAAAAACTGAGTTAACATTGAGACTGTCCTGGTTAACTGAAAGAAATAAAGTAGATCAATTACATTTTTTAGTTTTTATTTTGCAAAACTTTTCTTTCCTTTGGGGTATCAACTATTATTTATCGCCTACTAAACATTAATGTTCAGTTTTATTTGTACATTTTTGTAGAAAATCTTTGATTAACATACTTCCTTCAACAGCTTATTTTTCATGCTAGAAAAGTACTGTTTGATATGCTATTAATGGCATTTTGCAGTACACTACCCCTGAGCAAATTTAAAAACCACCAATGTAAATAAATCATTGGAAAACAGTAGAAATGTAAATATTCCCTATGAACTCGTATCTTATAGTTAACTCAGACCTACCAAAATCTATTTGTTCAGTTTACTGAGCACCCTGAATTGTTCTTTTAGGCACTTGTGAGTAAAAATAAACAGTCAATACTCCCTCCAACAAAATACAAACTTAAGGTAGACTTTTATTGTTCAAAAGCTAAAGAGAACACATAAATATTATTCTCATCCACTGTTTCATAGTTTCAAATAGGATGAATTTTTCTCTCTCGTTTTCTAAAACCTTGAAATGTAAGGTTTTATATGTAATAATTGAGGGGAGGATGTGTTGTTGTGTCCCTGGAATGTGACTTTGACTAATGACTGTATGACTTTCCCCCTGTAGGCATAATGCAGAAGAAGGTTGAAGAGGTTACTAAGGCTTTTGAAGAGTATCGTCGCAGGGAGCAGGAGTGCAATATGAAGATTGCCTTCAAATAACTGTCTCCCTCAGCCCACTCTATTTGGATTATTCATAATACCTGAATTCTGATGCTATTAAATAGAGTAGTTTTACAGTTAATACTTATCTTTGATTGCATTAATTTGTGCATGTGTCTGATTCTGATTATTTTTCATTTAAATACTGTAAAGAGAAGTATCCAATTTTTCTTTGAGAATGAAATAAAATCCAGGCTGAGGGCATAGCTCAGTGATAGAGTACTTATCCAGACTTAAGTAAAAGGTGTATTAGCCCCCTTGCCCAGGAAACTACCTATTAGGTATTGGTTTTGTGTGTATAATCTATATCTTGCTCACGTAGAGTCTGCATCCTGTCACCTGTACACACCAACTCCCTACTGAATTAAGAAGATGTTTGCCAAAACGTACATGCCATCAAGTCTTTACTGGGCATTTGCTGTCATTCACATAATGTGCTATATACTGTAAAGTCTCAAGTGAATTTTACTATCTACTCTGAGATATGATGTTTAAGATATGATTTTTATCTGTGAAAGACAATATGGGCAATGAAAGGAAGTGTATCATCACTTACAACAAGTGACTTTCAGAGAAGGTAGTATGGTTTTGTGGATTAGGGATTTAATCAGGGCTGTTATTTTTCCTTTGGTTCTAGAGATCAAATCCAATGCCACACTCTTGGATCATATACTCAGCACTGAATTGTTTTACTTTTAAGATTCACTTAATTTTGACTACATATAGATACCTCAGTGGTCTGGTTTGGTTTGGTTTGATCAAGATCTCATTGTATAACCTAGGCTGGCTTGGAACTTACAATCCTCATGCCTCAATTTTCCAAGTATCGTCACACCTAGGTATCCTAGAGACTGATTTTCATGTGTTTTGTTTTGTTTTAGCATATGGTTTGGACCTGTTTTTTGTATAACTTTTTATGTTCTTAAAGGAAAAAAAGCCTTCTTCTTAGCTAAAACATCTCAGTCTCTTGTGCTTCATCAAGTCATTAATATTGTGATGTCCTAAAAGTGAAAATAAACAGATTAAAAGTTAAGTGACGGAACTGAATTTTTGTTGTCAATATCACACATGACCACACAGAAGGGTTCATATTACAGAAGAAAATACTTTTTAAATGACTGTTAATGATGGTAAGTTTTATGTGTAGGATAAATACTAGAACTTAATGGATTCACTTCCTATATCAACATTTACTAGTTATTTCAGTAAGTTTTTGTCAACACTCAAAATTACAGATGGTGAACTGGAGTTGGTAGCACAGGCCTGTAATCCCAGCCACATAGAAGGCTGAGAGAGGGGTCACAGATTCAAGGCCAGCCTAGGTTATACGCTGAGTTCAACTAAATAAGAACTTGTTTCAAAGAATCAAACATTGTCTGGGCCCAAAGTCCTAGCATGGACAAGCTTCAGTCTTTAGTGCAGAGGGGGTGGGGAATAATGCAAGAATATTAAAGACTAGTAAATATTACAGACTTTTGAAGGTTAGCACACTTTTTAGTTAAATTTTGAGTAACCTCAAATTTTTGAATTTTAATATTTTTACCAGTATGCCCTAGATAAGGACAAACGTTCTCATTTTTTCCCAGAAAAAACTCTTGTAAAAAGAGCCCACATATAAGTGAGGTTCCACATTCAGTAAAGGCAATATAATGTTTTACATGAAATTCTGGTTTTAAACTTATGTTTGCCTAATTCACTGAAGAAAAAAATCATCTTGGGCAGCATTTTTTTCCACAAAAAGTAAAACTTGATTCGTGTTTCCCCACGTGTTTTATGAGAATAAACTAGTTTTTAATTCTACTAAGTTTTGTGGTCCTCTGTTTTAAATACTGGCAGAGGGCTTTTTGCAAATTTTCCATATAAAGTAGAGAGGAAGCTAAAGCCCTGTTTACATTCTCTTTACTGGAATTTGTAGTATTTATTTTTATTTTTTTATTTAGGAACAATCTTATTTTACATATCAATCCCAGTTCCTTCTCCCTCTCATCCTCCCATGCCCTCCACCGATCTCCATCCCACCCCCTATCCACTCCCCAGAGGGGGTGAGGCCTTCCATGGGGGATCATCAGACTCTTGTCATATCATTTTGCGGAGGTCCTAGGCTCTCCCCCATGTATCCAGGCTGAGGGAGTAGCCCTTCATGGGGAATTTGTAGTATTTTTGATCCCTAGCACATAAAAGATTCTAATCCGGGTTTAATGGTGCATGCCTTTAATCCCAGCACTCAGGAGTCAAAGGCAGGCAGATCTCAGTGAGTTCAAGGCCAGCCTGGTGTACAAAGTGAGTTCCAAGACAGCCAGAGCTGTTGCACAGAGAAAGCCTATCTTGAAAAACAAACAAACAAAAACTTCTAGAGAGTGGCATGTGGCTTCCAGATTAATCCGATAACCTTCAGTGTACTGTCTCAAATTTGGATCCTTAGACTAAATTTCCCCGAAAGTACATTAGACTCTGGTTCCAAGTTGTCTGTAAGATACGGCATTGCTTAAACAAATGTTAGCTAACCCATTTTGCCAACAATACAAAGGCAACCATTGTTAGCTAACTCAGATGTTAACTGAAGGAAAGTTCTTACATTTGTAATTTCGTGGCCCCTTCTCAACACATAATGATTTGTTTTCTCCTTTACGAAGGATGCATTATTTGAGGAACTTGAAAGTCATGCACGGTTGTTTGCTCTTAATATTAGATGGCATAGATTCAAGAGATTTTGATTTTTTTTATGTTTTCCATGTGGTAGAATCAGAAGCATACAGCAAACAAAGCCCCTTTAGGAAACACCCTGAAAACATGTCTTACTTGTTAAAGAGGAAGTTTTGGCTTAACTAAACTAATCTTGTAGATTGACACATTTTTCAGTTTGTCATAAATTCGCTAGATGAAGTTTTGAAATTAACTCATGATACGGTGTATAACTCCTAAGGTCTTAAAGCTTTTTACTACTGTCTGATTTGCTTTTAAGATGGGGAAAGGGATGCTGTGAAAATGGAATGGCTAATGCATCTTAGTTTGGCAGAGCTAGAAGTACAATGGCATTCCTTCTAGTGATGTTTTCCCAACATCCCTTGGTACCTACCACTTGGATCAGCTGCAGTTATGTACAGATACATAGAATATTTCCCAAACCTTGCTCTCCACTTACAGTCCTACAGCCATGCAACTGTCTTTTAGCTATTCCTTCTCCACTCACCCATCTAGTAGATATGTGTTGTAGTACATGCCACTCCAGTGTCTGTAGACTATGTTTTATTAGAACTAGACAAATGTACTGTGATGGTAAAATTCTCCACCTTTCCAAGAATTCAAGCACACTAACAACCTTGGTATGTTTTTCCATTTTCCTATTGATAAATTTGTCAGGCAGACAGTTTGGTTGAATGCCAGAGTTAAGCCCCACCTCCTTAAAGAATATGCCTAACTCACAGAGGATGTGACTCACATTTTGTTCATACTTACATATCGTCTCTTCGTCTCTATTCTATGTCAAAACTACAAAATGATGTATGTTGTATTTGCATTTATTTACCAGAGTGCTGGCATTTGTATTTGGTAGATTTTGGATCACCTTAATACCTGCCATGATATTTTAAATCTATCAGAAGTTTTCAAGAAGTGCAAAGTTATGAAACTTTCGTTTTGTCACAGTAGCTGCTCTTTGGTCTTTCATTGACTTGATCATGACAATATCAAGAACTTTGAACAAGTCTGAACTTACTGGATAACCTTGGGAAATTTACTCATAAGTAACCACCCTGTCATGGAAAAGCTTTAAAAACATATGAAAGTACTATTTTACATAAAGCTACACAGTTGCCCATTTTTCTCAGTCTTCCTAATGCTGCAACACCTTTAATACAGTTCCTCATGTTGTGGTGGCCCCCAACCATAAAATTTTCTTTGTTGGTACATCATAACTGTAATTTTTCTACTGTTATGGACTGTAATAAAGATAGCTGATACACGACCCCTGTGGGGATTTCGATCCACAGGTTGAGAACCAATGGGGTATCCTCATCTTATAGAAGAGGAAACTAAATTAAACCAGTTAAAGAAATTTACTGAAACTCATATTCCATTAACTTATCAAAACAAAAATTTAATATCCAGGCTGGTTCAAAACTCTGTTATGGTGTATTGTCAATAACCAAGAACTTGAATCTAAACACAAGAAGTGTGAACCCCAAAGTCTACAAGATTTTCTCACCTTTCTCCTGATATAAGAAGGGTTCTATTTTAATTGAAAAACAAAACAACTAGATGTCTTAGTTAGGGTTTCTATTGCTGCAATGAAACAACATGACCAAAAAGCAAGTTGGGGAGGAAAGGTTTATTTGGCTTACACTTCAGCATTGCTGTTCATCTCTGAAGGAAATTAAGACAGGGCAGGAACCTGGAGGCAGGACCTGATGCAGAGGCCATGGAGGGGAGTGGCTTACTGGCTTGCTTTTCATTGCTTGCTCTGCCTACCTTCTTATAGAACCCAGGACCACCAGCCCAGGGATAGCACCACTCACTATCTGTCCCCCAAGGATGACTAAATGAGAAAGTGCCTTGCAGCTGGATCTCAAGAAGGCATTTCCTCAGCTGAGGCTCCTTCCTCTGATGACTCTAGCTTGTGTCAAGACACACAAAACCAGCCAGTACACTAGGTGAGACAGTCATACAGTTAAACATTCAAAGGACACAGGTGGTGGTGGCACGTGCTTTTAATCCCAGCACTTGGGAGGCACAGGCAAAAGGAGCTCTGTGAGTTCGAAGCCAGCCTTTCTACAAAAGAGAGTTCCAGGACTTCTAGAGAAACTCTGTTTCTAAAACCCCTAAATCCAGAAAAAATTCAAAGGATATAAGGGAATGTATGGCATACACCTGTAACCTCCATTTATGGGAGACTCAGGCAGGAAAATCACAAGTTAATGGCCAATTTGAGCTTCATAAACAAACCCTTTCTCAACATAATGACAAAAATTTCAATAGGGACAAAACATGAAAAATTTCATTGTACTTTTTCTTTCTGTTCTTGTCATTCAACCATTGAGTTCTGCTAACTGGAAACATTCACTGACATCTATTCTCACAGAAATATTTCATGCATATGCAGGCTTATATACATTCACTGAACTTTGTTTTATATTTTGGTTTTGTTGGGTTTTGTTGGTTTTTAGAGAGTCTCCAACTATGTAGACCTGACTGGCCTTGAATTATGTAATGCAGGTTGAAATTTCCTTCTTATAAGTTAAGATCTTTCTTTCCATCTGTTTAGGTATATTTGCATTTCTGTTGCTTTTGGTCATTAAGAACACATGCTTTTTTGTTTCTGTTATTGGTTTTGCTATTTTTGAAATTGTATAGTTCAGGCTGGCCTTGAACTTGGTGACTAGTCAAATAAGTATTCCACAGCCAGTTTGTGTGGTATTGACGATCTAACCCCAAGGCTTTGTGCATGCCAACCGAGCATTCTATGGATTGAGCTACATCTCCAAACTCAAGAACCAATGCTTTTAGACACTGTTCTGTATGTAACTTAAAAAATTATGTTCTGTGTATGCATGTTTTTCCTGCATGTATGTATGTGTACCCAGTGTCTCAGAAACAGGCATCATATCCTCGGAACTGGGGTTACAGACAGCTGTGAGAAGCTCTGTGGAAATTGAATTCACGTTCTATGAAAGAAACAAGTGCCATCTCTCTCCAGCTCCTACTGTATCTAACTCTTGATTTAATATATTTACCAATGAAATATTCAAATGCCTGGGTATATACTGATTCTGACTTTGAATTAAGGGATCCTCTGGGTCTGTTATGGATAAGAGAAAAACACTGGTGCAAATGTTGTGGTCAGACTATAGGCTTAACTGGAAACTGCAGGTAGGTCAGATAAATCCTTTAAAGAGAAGCCTTGCTGACAAGAACAAATTCAAAGGTGATTAGAGAAGATCTAGGATTTATTGATACTCGGGGACAGAGTCAAGAAGCCAAAAGTGAACCCTAGGTTCATAGGGTTTACATTTTGGGTGTTATCTTTAACCTGTACTAGAAATTCTTAATTTACACTGTACTGGTCGCCCAACACCTGCTTTCTCTTTCCAACGCCCCACGGTTCTGCGGTACTACAATTCCCAGAGTCCCTAGCTCCACCTCAGTCGCCTTCAAGTCTGCCCCATAGATTTCTGGGAGTTGAGGTCTGGGGCCTATTTGCCCAAGTTCGGGGCCTGCGGAAACATGAAGAGGTAAGGGCATGTCCGAGTTGCTGGCAGCAACTTTCATCTTTTACTTTTTGAAAACGGCTTTTTTTCTTTTGTTTGGGATGTGTCATGTTGGCGAGGGGCGGGTTCTCTCTAGCACGAAGACAAAGGAGAAGGGAGGAGGGAAGGCCGGCCGGGTGAAGCTCTGGAAGGGCTGCGGCCAGGCCGGTTTCCATAGGAATGCTTCCCTCGGGCAGAGGCGCCTGGAGCTTCCCTGGCTATCACGTTCCTAACTCTGGAGACTTGCGAACCAGCTCCTCCCTGGCCGGTGCTCCCTAGGTCTCACCCTCCGGAGGGTCTCAGGGCGGGCGCTTACATCGTTTGGAATTAAAAGACTTAGTGGGATCGTCACTCAGGGTCATGTTTCCAGATCTTAACGTTAGAGAGTGATAGTTTATTTCTCCAAATCCAGCACAAACCCGGCTCGGTGTGTTTGGGGAGAAGAAAGGCATTGCTTCAGGGCAGTTTCCCCTACCGGTTGGTTCTGCAGTAAAGGACCCTTTGAATCTGGGGTGGTCCTCCTTGAGACCTAGAGTTTCACACTTACTGACAGGACACCACTCCTTCCAAAGGATCCCCTTGAGTTTTGTATTCACTCTGCGGGGCCACGTTCACTCTGGAGCAGTGCCGCACAACTAACATGTTTAGGAATGCTTTCTGCTGTCTTAGTTTCCTGATGTTTTCCTCTAAGTTGTTGATTTTCCGTGCCTTAATTAGCAACCACATTTTTTGTTTGTTTTTGTTTTTCGAGGCAGGGTTTCTCTGTATTGCTTTGGAGGCTGTCTTGGAACTCACTCTTGTAGACCAGGCTGGTCTCGAACTCTCACAGAGATCCACCTGCCTCTGCCTCCCGAGTGCTGGGATTAAAGGCATGCGCCACCAACGCCTGGCGACCTACAAGGTTTTGGAGATGGCAGGAGCACAAACACTTTCAGCTCTGACTTACTTGAATAAATGGGGGCAGTGGTGGCACACGCCTTTAATCCCAGCACTCGGGAGGCAGAGGCAGGCGGATCTCTGTGAGTTCAAGACTAGCCTGGTCTACCGAGCGAGTTCCAGGACAGAGTCCAAAACAATACAGAGAAACCCCGTCTCGAAAAACCGAAAAAAAAAAACACACATTGTAATTATTCTGTGATGACATACCTCATACGTGAAAACCAATGGATCGAATGTATAGCTTAAAGAACACTCATAAAGGGCTGTCTTCTATACAGGTATAAGCAATAGGACATCATTCACATACAAACCTTTAAAAAGCCCTCCTGGCACTTCTCCCCCTTCTAGCTAGGATTTTGCACCAATTATTCCCTTGCTTTTTTTTTGTTTTGTTTCTTAATATAGTTTCCACATAAGAGTTTAATCTCTGAACAAAATATGCTAGTTTCATCTGTTTTTAGCATTATATAAATGGAAGTATACTGTCTTTTTTTTTTCCTGTAGCAGGCTTTTTTTTAACACGACATTTTTCTATAGATTCATGTGTGTTGATACGCTTCTTCATTTTTAAAAATTAAATTTAGCAATAGCTGAGATTCTAAATAATAAAGATAGAAAGGCTTAGAGAGATTTTTTTAAAACCTTAGTTCCAAAGTAAGTTATTTTAGAATTTTTTAACTATAGGTCCAGGTCTTTATAGGAATCATATAATTAGTGATTTTCCTATACTTTATTATAAACCCCAGTAGACAAGGTCTGTTTTGTAAGAAACCTAATGTTTATTTTCTTATGGATTTAACTCACTTTTTTGTGTTTGTTTTTTTTTTCTGTTCTGTTACTACATGATTAAATTGTTGTGTTATTTGTTAGTACTTGAGTAAGAGTTTTCAATTACTTGAGATTGGTTTACAGCCATGATCTGGTTTGCTACACAGTAGTGTCTAGGGTAGAAATTTGTTAAGATACTCTTTATATTTTCTGCTCTTCCGAATGTCTTCTCTCGTATCTTCAGATCTTGTGTACACAGATGGTATAAGATTTCTCTGTGTTTAACATCAGGCTGTTCTCCCTGTAAGAATGTGTCATCATTTTCCTTTTAGTCAGCCATTTTTGTTATTACCTCAGACTCAGTGTCTTACAAGTGTTTCAGAGTTGTAAGAGGTGGTCACCTCAGTGTGGATATTAATGACACTGACTTTCCCTTTCCTAGGCATTTATTCCATCTGGAACTATTTTCCTTCATTGGTACCAACGTTCTGTCAACCTCTACCAACACTTTTGAAATTTGAGTGTTTTTATTTATAACTTTACTTAACATCATCCTCCAAAAGATTTCTCTCATTTAATCCCTACTTTGTATTTCTGCTATTATTGCCCTAGTCTGGAACTTTCCAATCCATATGACCTAAAACACTGCTTACTCTTTGACACCTAATAGCATGAGAAATTGCTTTCTGATACCTATATGCTCAGGTCTGGTCCAGAATCCCTTCGTGTATTTAATGATGTTCAAAGCCTGAGTCTAAATGGAGGTTCCAGTTATGCCACAGTATGTCACACCCAGTCTTTCAAACACCAGTTTAAGAATACCTTTTTGAAATCTCCTTTACCATTTTAGTTCCCATTTACCACTTTCTTGTGCAGACTTTTTACTAATTTGGCATGTTTTTCTGTCATCATTTATTCAGATTCCTTCCTTTTTGTAGGCACATGCACACAGCACAAGAGTATATAGGTCTTCTCCCTAAATATATTGCACATTCCTTGATCAAAACTGCGATTGGAATATCTTTAATTTCCACAAGTAGTGTCTCACTTCGGGTTTCTATTGCTCTGATAAAACACCATGACCAAAAGCAACTTGGGGAGGGAAGGGTTCAATTCTAGCCTACAACTCTCAGATGATGGTCCTTCACTGTGGGAAGTCAGGGCAGGAACTCAAACTGAGCAGGATCTGATGCAGAGGCCATGGAGGAGTGTTGCTTACAGCCTGCTTTTTTTTAATAGTACTCAGGACCACCAACCCGGGGTGGTACCACACTCAGTTAGTGTGGCCCTCATGTGTCAGTTATCAATGAAGAAAGTGCACCATAGGCTTGCCCATAGGCCATTTTGGTGGGGGCATTATCTCAACTGAGGTTTCCTCTTCCAAAATGACTCTGGCCTGTGTTATTTAACATACAACTAGCCAGTGCAAGTAGCTAGCACAATGCATGTTGTGTACATAGGCATTTAGTAAATGTTTGTGTAATGAATACTCAGGGCAATGGAATGTTGAAGAAATATCTTTGAACAAATGGATCACTGATAGATAATATAAATTTGGAGAATATATTTTCATATTACATGTCTCTTCTACTTTCCCTTTGCTTTTGTTTGTGTGTGTGTGTGTGTGTGTGTGTGTGTGTGTGTGTTTGTCTGTGATTTACATCTGCTCCAGGGTAAATAGCTGTGTGAAGAATGAAGAGCATGTCCTGGAGGAGCTGGAAACAGAAGGCCAAAGGCAGCTGAAGAGCCTCCTTCAACATCAACTTGATACCTCTGTCTCCATTGAAGAGTGAGTATTGATTGGTAAATAGGGAGATTATAATAGACCCTCACTTGCAGGTTATACATCCCTCTTAAAGCCTGATGGGAGCTCTCCACTCTCACACAACCACTTCCTTTGGAGGATCTCTTTATATGGGTCAGATTTTGATTTTGTGTCTTTTTATAGGAAGCTTCCTGTATCTTAGTAAGCCTGGACGTATTTACTGTGTCCTACTATAGCACCGTACATTTCCCCTAACATGGCATTTATAATTCTATATGGTCATTTCCTATTGCCTCTCTTCTGCTATTCTTTATATGGGTGGCAGTTCTTTTGATATTTTTATAGAAGATTTATTTTGTGTGTGTGTTGGGGGTAGGGGTAGTTATGTTAACCATATGTGTGCCACTGCCTGCAGAAGCCAGAGGGTTTTCAATCCTCTGGAAGTGTGGAGTTAGATGTGGTTGTGAGCTGCCTTGTGGGTGATGGGAACTGGCCCAGGTCCTCTGCAAGAGCAATAAGAGCCCTTAATTGTTTTGCCATCTCTCTAGCTCCTTGATTTGTTTTCTTTTTACTGTTAACTGTCAGCACAGAACACAGCATCTAATGCATTGCAGGTACTCAGTAAACTTTGTTAATTTAATAATTTATTAGTCCTGGGTATTTGGGGACTGTTCATGAGACTCCATTTTGTTGCCATGGTGCTTCACCCTGGCAAAACAATGTAAGAGAGACTTTACCCATGAACTTCACTGGATCCTTTATAATAGGAGGCCCCATTACAATTGTAATGTGGTTACTATGAATTGTAACCACAAGATGTTCTTACTCTCTTGTTTTGTTTTGCAGATGTGTCTCTAAGAAAGAGAGCTTTGCCCCGGGTACTATGTACAAGCCCTTTGGGAAGGAAGTGGCTGGGACAATGTCTTTGTCCCAGTTCCGGACACTGCATGAAAAAGATCAAGAAACTGCTTCTCTCAGGGAACTAGGTCTCAATGAAACAGAAATATTGATCTGGAAAAGCCATGTTTCAGGTGAAAAGGTAAGAAAGCTATCTTCTTAAAAAGATTTAGTTTCATTTATATATGTGTGTGCCTGTGTTGATAAAATTCCTTCCCTAAGGGAGACTTAAAGCAACATCCACCCCTCCTTCCAACAACAAACCTACAAACGAAGGCACAGTTCTGCCAAAGTTCACTCTGGAGAACCAATAACTCTATTGAGCTTCCTTACAGAGCCTAGGTAAAGGGCTGCCTACAGAACTGTGGGCACCCCTCCTGCAATGAGCTGTACCTGGAAATTTTTCCCCAACAGCAATGAGGGCTTTCCTATAGCCACAAGCCCTCCCTAGAGAAAAATCTCATGCCCAACTCTGTGCCTCTATGCTGGTGTGTTTAAACCATTAACCAGTCCTGCTGGGATGATCAATTCCAGGCAGGCACAGCTGAACTCCCCAGAGTGGTGATGGCTTCCTTTTGTCATGGAGAACATTTTTTTTAGTTTCATGAAACTGAGTGTTGAATAGGAATCTTATTTTGAAGATGGAAACATTGCCTAAAAAGTTGGCTAACCCTTAACTAAAACTTACATGAACACTTCTAATTTCTAGGCCTTTCCCATCCTCTTACTTATGTGAATTCTCAGATTTTCTTTTGTGCTTTTTGACGTAAAGCATCTAATTTCCCTGGTTTCAGAGGACAAAGCTGAGGGCAACCCCTGAAGCAATACAGAAACGACTTCAAGATATCGAAGAAAGGATCTCAGAGCGCCAGCGCATCCTTTGCCTGCCACAGAGATTTTCAAAGAGCAAACAACTGACCCGACGAGAAATGGAAATTGAAAAGTCCTTATTTCAGGGAACTGATCGTCACTCCTTCCTTAAGGCTCTTTATTACCAAGGTATGGGATCCTCACTGACTTTGAGATGTTCTTTAACATTTAACATCATAGTATTAGAAGTGGGAAATTAGTGAAAGACAAGATGTTACTATTCTTGAGAAATATATAGTCCCGTGAGTGACACCAAGATGTGTATAGTTACTTGCATGTCACCACTGAAAGTGTTATAAAGAGTTTAATCAAGTGCCACAGCATCTGAATCTAGCTGGGGGAGTCAGAAGTTGACATTTATACTATCTTAACAGATCAACATAAAGGGAAAAGGACATTATAGCTAGTGAATGGATAGGAGCCATACTATGAAAGGACCTAGTATATGTAGGGGACTGTTCAGTGTGGCAGTGAAGCAGGGTATGGCAGGGAATAATGTCTGACACATGAAAGGGAACCAGAGTGAGATTGTGATGGGTCTTTAGACTGAACTCTAAAGTGATGTAAAATATATACATAAAAGCAGCATGTCTTAACCAGAAAGGATTCATTTGCAGCTAATTTTACTCAGCATGGTGGAAGGTACACAGAAAGGGTTTAAGAAATGGTTCCTAGCCTTGTACTAGTCAGCTTGAAGATGCATACATATACCCTTTAGCAGTAATGCTAGATAAACTGGTTCAGTGCCATAGAAGTTCAGAGTTTAATTGCTGTGACTAAAGAAGGCCTCAGAAGAGGTAAGATCTTTAACCCTGTCTATTAGACAGTTGCAGAGGTTGGTGTGAGCATTGTTAATTGGGGGCATTTTAAGAGATCAGCTTGAAAGGGCAGCTCAGGATTCTTGGCTCTTATTTGTTTGATAATACAGAGGTATATGGAGTTAGTTTGTTCAGTTAATACATTTGAAGATAGTAAGATGAGACAAGCTGTATTTAGAAATGATTAATGTGGTGGCCAAGAAAGAGAATTAGAGAGAGGAAAGAGAGAATGACGGCAGTGGAACTGGAGAGGTGGGATTAGTTGTGTGATATGACAAGAAGAGTTTATAAAGCCTGTTGACAGAGAATGAAGGAGTGGATCACTGAGAATGAAGTGCAGAGGAATATGGCGAGATAACTCAGACATTTCAAAGCTGTGTAACTTAGTAGGTAAAATAAGTCAAGGGGACACTCTGAAGAAGGCTGGTGTATTTCATTTAAACAGATTGAGTTTGGGAAGATGGCAGACTTAGCACAGGCAGATACTGATCGACACAGCAAAGCTGAGGACACAAGTCAGAACTTGGTCTATATGTTAAATTTATGCAAGTGATCGAGTGGTGTGTGAAAGATAGACTGTAAGGTGCCAGGGCAATGGTAAGGGAGGAAGGAACAGAACAGCTTTCTGTGGAGAGACATTATGACATACTGACTGTGATCGTAGGCTCTGGAAGGAGACTGCCTGGGAAAAGCCTGGCTCCCCCACTTACTAGCTGTGCAATGCTGATCACATTACCTCTCTATACTTCAGTTCTTTCTCTGTGAAACGAGAATATCAGCAGTAGCTGTGATGTAGCGTTGTTAGGAGTATTAAGTGATGTAACACGTGGAAATCAGAGCAGTACCTGCTATTGGGGTGGGGAGGTGGGGTGTGTGTCTCTGTTCTGTTTCCTATCTTTGAAACTCCTTGCTTTAAACCTTCACAGCATACCACAAAAAGACAAGTGCAGACAAGTACATGACCTCAATGAAGAGGAAGATAAAATTAGGCACAAAAGGCAAGTCGAGAGTTTTCTTACAGTGTTAGATTTAGGAATGTAAAGTAGGGTCCCAGACTTCTAAGTTGAGCACTTATTTAATTCCATATTCACTATATGACAATGTTTATAGGAAATAACCTAGAGAGAGCATATTGTCCTGATATGAAATATTAAAGAGAGGAGTTAGTAGAAGTTGTCAAGATTTTACATTTAGTTTTGTTTTTACTTCTATAGATTCATTGTACCAGACATACATTGTCCTTGCTGAATTTTAGATCCCATTGCAAAAATGATTCTGAATATCATTAATCAGTATAACTATTGATGATGATGATGGTAATTATAACTAGCATTTATTTTGAAATGAACTTACAGTAAAATTGCATGGGGCCTTTTTTGGTGTACAATTCTGTGAATTGTATAAATCATCTAGATTTCATGTATCCACCACCACAGTCAAGCGAGGGAGCAGCTCCATCACTCAGGCAAACTATCATACTCTCCCTCTTTAGAGTTACTCCCATTGTGCCCCCCCAAGTTCCTGGCAATCACATATCTCCATTACTTCTGCTTTATATTTTAGAGACTGTCATATAAATGGAATCATGCAGTGTGTAACCTTGTGAGGCTGGCTTCTTTCACTCAGCATAATGCTTTTGAGACTCATCCAAGTTGTTGTTTATATCAATAACTCATTCATTTTTGTGGAGTCCCATTTCATTGTATGGATATTCCATATCCATTCATGTATTGAAGTGGATTTGGGTTTTTCCAGGTTATGGTCTTTATGAATGATATTGATATTAACATTCTTGTGCAGGTTTTTGTGTGAACATAAGTTTTTATTTCTCTAAGGTAAATATCTAGAAGTGGGATTACTGGGTCATATGGTAAGTGAACATTTAACTTTATATGAAACTGCCAAACCATTTTCCAGAGTGGCTGTACCATTTTGCATTCCCACCAATGGTGTATGAGAGTTGACTTGCTCTCCATCTTTGTCAGCATTTGGTATTGTCAATATTTATTGTGATCGTTCTGATAGGCGTGAAGTGATGCCTTCTTGTTGTTTTAATGTGCCTTTCTTATGGCTAATGATGCTGAGCATCTATCTTTCCGTGTGCTTTTTTGCCATCATTATATCCTGTTTGCTAAAATTTCTGTTCACATCTTTGCCGTTTTATCATTGGATTGTTTTTCCTTCCTAATGACTTTTGATATTTCTTTATATATGCTAAACACAGTCTTCCATCAGATGTGTGCTTTACAAATATTTTTTCACAGTCTGGAGCTTGTCATTTCATTCTCTGAGCAGCATGTTTTTAATTGTGCTAAAATTTACATAACATAAAATTTACTATTTTAATCATTTTAAATATTTGCTTCTGTGGTGTTAAGTATATTCATATTCTGTAACTATAAGCACCACCTATCTCTAGAGCTTTTAAAGATATACACATTAAAAGCTTTATCTTACCTCACACCCTCTGCCTTCTAGCAACCTCGGTTCTACTTTTCATGAATTTGACTATTCTGTGTAACTCATGTAAATAAAATCATGCAATAATTATCTTTAATGACTGGGTTATTTTACTTAGCGTAAATGTCTTCATTGCTCATTCACACTGTAGCATGTGTCACAAATCCATTCCTTTTTAAGGCTGCATAATATTCCATTGTATATACATGCTGCTTTGTTTACTCAGTTCATTCGTCAGTGGACACTTCAATTACTTCCATGTTGTAGTTATTGTCAATAGTGCTGGTGTGAACATTGGAGTACAAGTGTTTGATATCTGCTTTTAGTTCTTGGTGTACATACACAGAAGTGGAATTGCTGGATCTTATAGTAATTCTGTGTCTAGTTTTTTGATGAACCTCCCTACTGTTCTCTATACAGACTGTGATTTTGCATTCCTACCAGCAATGCACAAAAGTTCCAAGTTTTCTAAATTCTCAGGAACACATGTTATTTTTTTGGGTTTTCTCTTTTTGGATAAGTGATACTTTAAAGAGCATGATATATCTCATTAGAGTTTTGATTTGCATTTCCCTAATAAGTATTGCTGTTTTTTGTTACATGTGCTGTTTGGCCATGTATCTTCTATGAATAAATATCCATTCAAGTATTTAGATATTACTTCTCAGACACATGATCTGTAAATATTTTCTCTTGCTGTGTGTCTGCTTTTAACTCTTCATAGTAGCCATTAATGCATGGTGTTTTCTCATTTTTCTTCATGTTTCTATGCTTCTGTTAGTATATTTAAGAAGTCATTGCCAAATCCAATATAAAAAAGCATTTCCTCTAGGTTATCTTCTTAGCTGTTACAGTTTTTGCTCCATTTAGGTCTTTGATCCATTTTGACATAAGTTTTGTATATGGCTTAAAGATAAACATCCTGTCACTTGTTGCTATTCAGTTTTCCCAGGGCCATTTTTTGGAGACTGTTCTTTCTGCACTGAATGCTCTGTTCAAAGATCATTTACCATATGGATGAGAGTTTATTTCTGGGCTCTTTAGTGGTATATGTGTCTGGCATTATGCCTATAGCATGCTGTTGGTTTTTTTTTTCTTTTTGATACAAGGTTTCTCTGTGTAGCTCTGGGTATCCTAGAACTCACTCTGTAGACCAAAGCTGGCCTTGAACTCACAGAGATCCACCTGCCTCTGCCTCCTGAGTGCTGGAATTAAAGACGTGCACCACCACATGTGGAATGTAGCATGCTCTTTTAATTTTTGTTCTAAGTTTTGAAATCAGGAATTAATAATCTGTAATATGGTATTTTTCACATTGTCTTGATTATTTTGGTAGTCCCTTAAGATTCCATATGTGTTTTAGAGTAGACTTTTATTTCTATAAAATCAAATCATTGACAGTTTGTAAGGGAATGAATTGAATCTGTAGAGAGCTTTGGCTAGTGAGGATTGAACAGTGTTAAGTCTTCTAAATGATCATGAGTGCTTACCTGCTATTTGTGTCATTTTTTATGTTTTTAGTTCTTTAAACTGCATCTTCTAGCTTTTACTATATAGGTCTTGCTCCTCAGAGAAAATGCTTTGAACTCTTGTCGAGTTTATCAGTTGTATGTGCAGACATATGGCTGTGTAAGAATTAAGAACTCTTCCTAATACCTGTTGATGTAAAACACCTCTGGTATTTTTCTCCTTGTGGTTTTATAATTACACATTTTATATTTAGACCTGTAATCCATTTTGACGTGGTATTTTTATAACATGAGATGAGATCTAGAGTGAGATTAACCTTTCTTCCTATGAATGCTCGAGCACCAGTTATTCAAAAGAGTATCTTCTTCCCCACTTACTAACTTTCATTCCTTTCAGAATTTATGTTAATAATATAATAGTGGTGAAAGACTGAAATTTGTCACCAAGAAAAGAAAAAGTAAAGATATCCACTCAGACTATTTCTATTTTAAATGGGATAAAAGTAGAAAATTAATATTCATAAGACAAAGGAAATTTATAAATATGCAAAAAATGTATAGTTCTACCAGATAATGAGTGGTTCAAAACTAAATTCCATTCCCTCTTAAATTCATGTGTGTATGTGTTTATTTATATATAGAACCTGATCAATCCTTTTAGTGTTGTACAACATTTATATGCAAACATACATTAATTGTTGTGTGTGTTTCTGTGTTTATATACAAAGCCTGTTTAGTGTTGCAAATTTTGGCATGTCAGCTAGTGATTGTATCATGCAGGTCTTATTTAGGCAGCCATACTATTGAGACTCTGTGGGTGTAGCTTCTCATGCCCTTTTGATTGAAGTTTTTAGTTTACTTATTTTAATGTATTAGGTTATTTGATAAGATAGGATTTATATCTATTATTTTATCCATTTATGGAATTAGATTTCTAGATTTCTCTAGTATGTCATTTTAATTAACTTTTTGATTCTCCCTCCCACCCCCATTGGGGAGTGTGTGTGTGTGTGTGTGTGTGTGTGTGTGTGTGTGTGTGTGTGTGTGTGTGTGGTGTGTGTGTGTGTTATTCCCTTCCTGGTTACCATTTTTTATTCTTTACATACTTTACATCTCAAAATCAAAAAAGTTTCCCCTACCTCCATTCCTACCAGCCTCTCCCACTTGCACCTCCCCTCTCCCCCATTTCCCTTAAAAAAAAAGAACAGGCCTCCCAGGGATATCAACAGAATACATAATAGCAATTTACAGTAAGATTAGGCATCTCACCTCATAACAAGACTGGATGAGGTGACCCACTAGGAGGAAAAGGATACTAAGAGCAGGCAAAGGAGTCAGACATATCCTCCACTCACATTGTTAGGAGTCCCACAAGAACACTAAGCTAGCAACCATAACATATATGCAATGGACCTTTCTCAAATCCTTACAAGGTCTATGTCACTTCAGTCTCTGTGAGCCCCTATGAGCCCTGCTTAGCTGATTCTGTTTTTGTGGTGTCCTTGACCCCTCTTGGTCCCTACAGCCCTTCCTCCTCTTTATTTTCGTTTTTTTTTTTTTATTCAAGGCAGTTTCTCTCTGTGTAGCCCTAGCTGTCCTGGAACTAGCTCTATAGACCAGGCTGGCCTCAAACGCAAAGAGATCCACCTGCCTCTGCCTCCCACGTGCTGGAATTAAAGGTGTGTGTCACCACTATCCAGACTTCTTCCTCCTCTTATGTGGGGTTCCCCAGGCTTCTCCTAGTGTTTGGCTGTGGGTCTCTGTATCTGTTCCCATTGGTTCTTGGACAATGCTTCTCTGATGGCAATAGAATATCATTAGGAATTAAGGATTACAACTAACAGATTAAACAGGTTAGTTTGCAGTAGTGACAACTTAATTTTTTAGATGGTTTTTATTTGTATATTTTTACATCCTTACTGCTATTTCCACTCCTTCCTCTCCTCCCAGTCTATCCCCCCACCTTCCATGACTCCCTTATCCACTTCTCCGTTTCTATTCAGAAAAGGGCAGGCTTCTCAGGATATCAACCAAGTATGGCATATCAAGTTGCAGTAAGGCTAGGCACC